TCTTGCTATCTTGAAACTGGTTTTCCTTAGAATAAAAAGTGTTTCAAATTTGTTGCTCACCAGGAGTATCGGCAACAAAATAGTTGAAGGAGTAGAAAAAGCCAAAAACCTTTTTCCCCATGAATTTCCTTTATAATTGTATGATTTTCCTGAAAATAATGTTACGGTTTGTGGTTCTTCGAATAAATATCATTTAAACTTAAAACTTTTTCCATTATTTCACTGCTTCACTTGACTTTTTCTTGCCTATTTTACAGGCACAATTTAGACAAAAGTATTTACCCGGCAACTCCCCCATTTATGTAGTGACAAGCACTTTGAATAGTGATTGCGCATTCATCAAATATTCTGATCTGACGATGGAAACATGCGATCTTTCCGTCACTGACCAAGGCCACACGTGTCCACTTCCGAAGGGAACAATGCAGCCATTTAAATTTCTTTGAAAATCTCGAATCATCTAACTGAAACCCATCATGAATCATCTTGTATATTTCGTCAGACACTGTTGCACTTACGAAATATTTTCAAAGAATTTTCGTTTTTTGGTTAAAAAAAAATATTTATTCATCTACATTAATATTGTCGTCTTCAAAATAGTATCACTAACTTGTGCCAGCACTTCTTCCATACCTCGATACACTTCTTAAATTCGATATTTGGGATAGCACTTAGCTCTTTCAGCGATGCGCTTTGAATATCAACTCTGCTTTAAAACGACGTTCCTTTAAGGTTATCTTCCTTTTTGGAAATAAGAAAAAGTCACACGGAGCCACGTCTGGTGAACATGGAAGCTGGGACACCGTTATAGTTACAGCTGAAGATACTTTCTGTTTCAGTAAAACTAACTTTTCGAATCCTTATTTTTGCTCACTTCATTTTTATGATTTGAATTTAAACTTCATACCGTTGTATTTCAATATCAACTCTTCTTTTTGTGAAAAAATACTAATAATGATTCTTTCACTGCTTTACAATGTTCTGAAGAAAATACGTAAAAATAATTCCTAGAAGTTAGTTTATTACTTACATTTTTTAACTGTGAACCATCAACACAAACATTATTTTCCGAAATTATTGAAGTCCATATTCAAAACCACTGGTCCATACAGATAACTTAATAATTGAAATTACTAAAAATATGAATTTACACAATCTGTTTAGATAAACTATGAAATTATGCATGTTAATGAATCCGATAATAAGTCTTTGTGATTAGCGCCTCGTTAAAGCTAATCTGGCAAGATCTTTTTTTTTTTGATCGTCATTACCTGAATATTGTTTCTAAGTAGTTCCTTGAAACAAAATTATGAGGACAAAACCTGATTAAAAAATTGCGGAAATTCGTGTTTACTCGTATTATTCTATCATTCACACTCGCGTTTACCTAAATTATGAAGTGGTTTGAAACTCTGGCCATTGAAACAGCCCACAAGAAGCACCGAGTCTGGTTGAGATACGTGGACGACACCTTCATAATATGTAACCATAAGAATGCAGAACTAGATACCTTCCTGAAGCACATCAACAACCTAAGCCCTTCCATCACTTTCACAATAGAGAAAGAAGTCCACAACGAATTGCCATTCTTAGACGTATTGTTCAAGAGGACCGACACTAAATGGGAAACATCTGTATACCGAAAACCCACTCACACGAGACAGTATCTGAACCAGGAATCCAAATCACCATCAATCGGCTAAGAGAGGAATCATCAAGACTCTAGTAGACCGTGCTTTCGGGCTCTGTAATAAAAAGTGATGGTGGAACAGACCTTATTTAGAATACAAGCAAGAGCCTCACAAGGAAGAGAAGCCGCCACAACCAATACTTGTACTGCCCTACATCAGAGGATTGTCGGAAAGGATAAGAAGAATTGGGTCCAAGATCTGGGAACACTATCCGTACCAGCCTCACAAAAACCAGGCCACCAAACCCGAACTGCGAACTGAACTCTAAATTAATAATAATTCCGTTATGGATTGAAATACAAGTGAATTATGTTTACTCTTATTCATGCTGCTATAAAATAAAATTACAAAATATGAATTGACCGACCCGTTACTTTATGAAAGTTAATAACACTATCCATGATAATAAATTGGACAATTTTCACAAACAAAGTAGACTTGTTTCGTGTTATGTTACTAATTTTCATTATAAAAAACGACTGCTGAAAATATTACAACTCCCAAGTTTCAATAGTGTTACGTTTTTCCCCGTGCGGGTTCACCAATAATTGACTACACTGAATTATCAAACTTAACTTTATTTCACTTTAAATACAACAAACACTTCAACTAAAAATGTAACTATTATTTCAATGTCTATCAATTTGTGTACCGCACTGTATCTTCCACTTGACCTAGTCGATATGCCCGCAGCTAACGTCTAAATATCGTAATCGAATGCCGTACAAATTTCGCCGAAGTTCAGTCGAAGTCGGTAGCATTATTCTCGCGGCTTCTCGAGTGGCGGGGAATCATCGTACATTCGCGCGCTCTTAGCTACGTCACCATTGTTTTATGGCTACCAGTGGCGGCCGGCGTTATTTTCTTTCGGACATGCATTTACAACAATAGGTATCTATATTCCATGATCTACGAATTATATTTTTTTATTCGAATCAGTCAGTAAAAGAAATGAATTGAACCATTTAGCGCTTTCTTTTCTGGATGTTTCTTTGACACTTAATTTTCGACCCGAAGTCACAGGAGTACAATTCAACGTTCTGCAAATTGTGCGTTCAGAGGGACGTTATACGGTGGTTGTTGAAATAATAATAAAGGTCCACAATAAATCCGCGGAGATTATGTCTAAAGAGCTGGCTTATGAAAGAACCTGACATTTGTTTTCCCCAGGTCAAGTGGGCTCAAGTCGGAAACTGAGGAATTCATCATGCCCTGCCACGATGGTGTCTTCAACACCTTGGTCTACCGTAGTCGCATGATGAGCGCATGACAGCGAGTACTCGCTGTCGGCATCTCCAGTACATGCCGTCTCAGCCTATATCCATCAACATAATGCGGCCCTAAGAGTGCTCTACCACCTTCGCCACCTTTTAAAAATTCAGGAAATGAGTCATTCACAAAGGAATCATTTATCAATGAGACAAGAACGTTCAAAATACAATCTGGCAGTGTCTCAAAGATTTTAACAGACATTTCATCAATACCTGATGTTCTTTTATTTCTAATTTCTCGGATAACCTCTTTAAATTCATCTAGGTCAATGGGGATTAAATCAAATGTTTGACCTATTTGAACTCCCTTCAAATATTTGATTGGGTCGTTGCTCGAGACTGTATGAACTGCAGATTTTGCGGTTATTGAACAATAGTGGTTGTTCAATATTGTGGGACTTCATGCTGTGTTAGTGGATTTTCCTTTAGATTGCTTTCCTCTCAATTCATTAACTGTATATATTCCATCCTTATTTCATTTTATTATCAGCATTATCAAATCTATTTTGATATTTTTTTTCGCAGCACTTATCACATTTCTATATGTTTTCCTGTATTTATTGAAATATTTAAGAAAACTTTCATTTTTTGCATGTTTTCGGATAAAATTGACTACATTATTCCAGTCGCTTTCGAGCGATGATTGATAAAACCTATTATAGTTAGTCGTGCTGTATATATCTGTGTTTTTTTGTATTTGCAACAACTTTGAAATTGAATCTTGTGAAGATTGCATTGTGATCGAACAGATTTGAAGGGACAACATCACATGATATAAGATTTTCGCTTAGATTAGAACAAAAGTAATCAATTAATGATGATGAGTATTGGGATGAGCGAGTTGCTGAGTTTACATGCATTTTTATATTGTAACATTCCAAGAGATTGCACAGTTTTTGTCTATCATTTCAATGCTGCATAAAACAGAAAATAGTTCAGGAAAGACATACTATGTGGTTCATTTTTCTGTGCCAGTGAAAAAGTGCACTATTTATTCCCGTCAGTAACTTATTTAAGTATAAGATAGAGTAAAAAAGTTTCAAATCTTTCACTTTTTCACTGGTACAGCAAAATGAAGCTCAGAGTATATTTGATAGTTTTTTTTTAGTACAAGAGGTACCTACATTTTATTGTTAAAGTTAAAAAAACATCACTTCTCATCAAGATTTTCGAGAAAGATAAATAGCATTTGAATTGGTGATAAATTTAAATTCTTGAATTTTAGTTCAAAATTGAGCAAACTATGTTTTTCACTACATCAATCGTTTAACAATACATTAGAAATATCGGCTCTAATGAATCATACCTTCGTTACGAATTTCAAATTACCTACCTACATAGTTACAACAAAATAGCGCCGTGCACAATGATATCGTTGTCACCTGGTATGAGCACCTCTTCAATTCTCTTTTAAATATTATAAAATTCAGTAACATGAGGCATAATTTATATCTGTACATACACAATATCATGTTTTTAAATATGGAAGTTATTGTGATAGCAATAATTTGTAATTCTTTAATCTATTTTTGCGAGCATTAACAATATATGAAATATGGAATTTTCAATATATTTTTCCGACATTTTCCTCAAATTCCGATTTCAAACTTGGTAGGTAGGGATTTATATGTTATATACTTATATTTCACATATAACCTAACCCAACCTGAACTAATCTGATCATATTCATATTGATCTCATATTATTCCGAATTTAACTGAGTTAGAAGTCGGAAAAATATAATGTTAAGTCTTCAACCAGAATTTTCAAAAAAATCAGAGAAATATAGGTAATTCCATATTTAGAGTCGGATTTTTTCGAAGTGGATACCTAAAAATTAATCCGTCACAAAAAAAATTGTCCCTTCTACGCTCCCAAACACTTAACTTCAAATTTGAAAAAAATACGTTTTGCGATATCTAGAACATAATTTCCTTCATTAAAAAAATAGTATTTCCGTTCTGCCTTAAAGCGATTATCACTGTAAAATTGCGGCAACTGTTCATTATGTCTGCTAATAAAAATTGCATGCAATTACCTTTTTAAAATTGAAGAAATGACTAAACACCGGTGACTTGTTAAGGTTTCATTCACTCTCAGCTAGCTGCGACTCGTAGAAATATTCAAATAATTCTCTTCAACTGAACGCTAAGAATAAACTAGACTGAATCAAACGATTCCTGCTTTTATGCCTCCGAACGAATTCTAGTAGCAAACTGGCAAACTGTCGTCTAGCAAGACACGTCCTCACCGGTGAACATCCCCACCCTATTTAACAAATAATTATTTAATGAAGTTTTTGAGGCGAAATAATAACGGCTAACGAATGTTGCTCATTGTTTTATCGCAGTTGCCAAGGCTGGCGAAATGAATATGCCGACAGCCAACTCCTCGATTTGTTTACCAATTGAAATGCGTGACGTAGACACACCTCTGACGAGCCCCCTGAGAAACCAGTTTATGCATGGTTTATTAATAATACTAGTCCGTTAATGCATTTATTCTTCAATTACAAAAGGGGTTTTGCTCTGCTATCTTGTAAGATGACGTGCTATTCTGAACATTGGAATTAAAATGTAGAAGCGGACTATAAGAAAAGCAGATATAATAATCGTAAAAAATATATTTTACCCAAAGATACATCAATTTACGATTGAACTTAATAATTAAACCATCACCCCTTTTCCTATATGGATATAAAACAACTAAATGAATAACAATGCTCTCGCCTGGCTCGCTCGAATTGACAACCTAATATACTGGCCACAGGACACTCGCCGATGCGAATATTCGCGCGGTGCGAACGNCTCAATGAAGTAATTCTAGATAGGCGCCTACATTGAAAATAATCAATGCAGTGGAATTCATTAGTTCCATTATTTATCAAACAGATGCGAAAAAATTTAGATGAGAAATCAGAAAGCAGCTGGATCGAGAACCACTTCCAACATTTATGATTAGCTATGAAGAACGTAGAGCTCTGTACGGCCAACGAAGAGGTGACATCATCAAGATTCTTCCTGCAACAAGGGGAGTACTATCGTTCCGATAGATACCGATCCCTACGAGAAGAATATCGATGACGTATTTCAGAAAGGGCAATACACGAAGATTGTACGAGATTCCACTGCATCGATATTAATGAAGGTGAACCAGAAGGTGAACCTTAAGAAGCATTAACTCTTTTTTTCACAAAATGATATATCACTGCTGACCCCGCGTCACAGTAAGCTCCCTTACGTTTATGGACAACCCAAGATCCATAAGATCTGCTAAAACCGATCAGTTTCAGAGTCAGTCACCTACAACTCACCCATATTCATACTTTCTATCATTTAACCACTGCAGGAAGTCATTTTTTGAGTAACTGAAGATAATGAAGGTCACAGAAAGGGACCAATCAGTCAGTTTTGATGTAGACCCACGTTCATACGGAAGAAGTTACCCGAATACGGAGGTCTAGGAAACAGAACGAAATTACTAAGAGGTATCATCATGGAATTACTAGGATGCTGTGTCCTGAACTGTTTTTTTTTTCAGTCCCCATCATCGGCTACTTTGGTCATTAGCCATGTGTAGACAATATTAATAACTGTCCGAGCCACGTAGGGAGCTTCATGCCTAATCGCAGACCGTCCAGTCATGTAACGCTGCGGAATTATTATTATTTTCATTTTTTACCGAAGGTTAAGCTGGTCGGACACTGTATCGTTAATTATTATTATTTGGTATCAACGGCACCACTGCTTTGGTCATTAGCCTCGTGTTCTGGGAATGTGAGCATCATGGCTATTCACAATCCGTAAGCCGTGTAATGTTGCAGAATCATCCCAACTCCAACTAGATGAATTATTTCGATAAAAATATCTGGTCGAGATCGGAATCGAATTCACGACCTTTCGATAATCAGTCGGGTGCATTACCATTATGCCAATTCACTGCTTCCGGAACTGTTACTTTCAATTGGGGAACGAATTCTTCACGTAAGACGAAAGACTGCCATTTTCGACGACGGTTATAGCCAATATTGAAGAAGCCCACAAGAAGCCCACGAGGCCGAACGATCGATTTTCATTCCCCATCGTTCAACTCGTGCAAGGAATCGCACGTTAAAATGTAATAACTTGTTATTGTACACACAATTTTCGACTTCTGATAGTTGTCGTTCGTGGGAAGGGTGCCGCAGACTTTATCGAAACCAGTGTGGTAAGATGCTTGTCTTAATTATTGGGTCCTTGGTGGAATGATGTTCTCTCTATCCTCGAATCATGTTGGCCGGGTAAATGCAAAAGTCTGTTCTTCTTCTTCCATTCACCTCAAGATGTGAGGAGTGGTCATTAGTTGATGATGTTTTGCAGATATTCCAAGTACATGCACTCATAGGAGGACATACGTGACGATACAATAAATTGATCCATACAGCGTTCTACGCCTCTGGTATGGGTGAATCACGCGTAAGCATTTGCTAACCTGCACAGGGGAGTTTGTTTCTAGAGATGCAGATTCTCTTTCTGCTGCTCAAGAATTGGGCGTTAGGCAGATTCATAAGACATAGTGCCTTCGAAGAGACGATATATTGTTCCTGGTGATATATCATCTTCCAGAGGAAAACTAAGAAGCTATTGCTCTTTATCCTATCTTACAGGAAGGATAGGACACTTGGGGTTGTTCAGACGAACGTTCATCTCCTCTGTATTCTCCTAGGTTACTTCGTGGCCCACGAATAGCTTTTGCCCCGCTTTAGCGTGGCAAAAGTCTCTTCGACGAGAGGGCGCCCTGTATCTCCGTCAGTGATACTGAGTGGGCTCAGAGTCATACATTCTTTCAGCATGGATAGACATAACTTAAAAGTACTCCTGCCTTCATGGATGATACCTAACGTGGTTTGAAACTGTATCCTAACGTTTCGCCAGCACGAGTGGCTGACTTCTTCAGAGGTTCATTCATCCTGATGGTTCACCGATGACTGTCACCGATGTCATCGGTGAACCATCAGGATGAATAAATCTCTGAAGAAGCTAACCACTCGTGCTGGCGAAACGTTAGGATACAGTTTCAAACCACGACGGCATTCAAACCCGAATGAAGTTCGTAACACTGAATTCTCTTTGTTGAGATTCCTTTTAGTTTATGACCGAAAACTCTCAAAAAATAAAAATCTGGCGATGCTAGCTGAATGAAACTTTTATTTTTCAGAGCAATCAGTGATGTAAATATTTCACCATTTTCTTAATTGAAATATACCACCATGACTGATATATGTAATAACATTGGTCATTTGGAATTTTTCTTAACTGCATTATACGAGGTGTGAAATGATATATATTTATGATTCAATTAAATAATACAAATTTATTTAGGTACTCTCATAAAAGTTACCTGTCATGGCTATCTTTAATATTGGGAACAGGAAAAAGGCGCAGGGCAGTAAATAATCTGGTGAATACGGTGGCTGAGAAATGACTACGGTGTTGTTTTTTGGCAAAAAATTACGAACAAGCAATGACGAGTGAGCATATGCATTATCGTGATGCAAAAGCCATGAATTGTATGTCCAAAAAACTGGACGTTTCTCTTCGCATTGCTTCTCGCAAGTGGCGCATAATACTCATTGACCGTATGACAAGAACTCCTATGATGCACTACGCCACGATAATCAAAAGAAACAGTGAGCAAAACCTTGACATTTAATCGAACTTGGCAAAATTTTTTTGTTGTTGGCCCTCTTGAGCTCTTCCATTGGGACGATTGGGCTTTGGTTTCGATGTCATGGTTCGATGCCAGTATGACTCTTTTACGCAAATCTAGATTGCCGTTGACGTTATTCAACAATTCCTGAGCGATGCTCATGCTACGGTTTTATTTCATATCCAAATTTTCCGAAAAAAATGCATGGCATGAGCTAATCAGTCGTGAAAGCCTACATTCCTATAAAAGTTTATTATATGGGTTTGAAAATGCCCTTGTAGGACGAAACTGTGGTATAAAAACATAGGGAGTTTTAACTCACATTTTTCATGATGGTATCCGACCACGTAATAACATCTATCAATTTATTGATAAATTATAGTTCAAAATTCAACCAAAATGACGCTAATATCAAAAGTGGTATTATAAGAACGTGAGTTAAAATATTTAATGTTTTTAATGACTCGAGTTGTTGATGATACAGTGCTCAAAGTGTTTTCTAATACATGGAAACGATTTTTCTTACCTCAAGCATCCATAGGTACTAGCTGAGTATCAGTTCAATATGTCAGGTAGATGTACTACCTGAACTTTCAAATAGCGTTAACAGCTTTGGCTATAAAGTCTCAAATCGACAGAAGAAGAACATTGAGGTTAGTTGATTGTTGATTTGATTTGAATTTTCTGATGAAGAAAGCCGTTTCACATATCTTTTGTATACATTTCTCACAGAGGTCCTAGTTCTAAGGAGGTCATTGACTTTTATTTATTTTTTTGTAGAAATTTTTCTGTTAATAATGAGTGACGGTGAGCATATTATAGGTTGTGTAGTGAATATAGAGTGGCTGAACAAGCAAGGAGTTATTCAAAGAAAAGTGTGTCACAAAAAAGGCAATTTACGTTTAATAAGAGATGACAGAAAGGATATTTTAATTGAAGTGTCTGCCGAGAAGGCTTCTATACTCAAATTTCACCTTAAAGGTGCCTCAGTTCACAAAAAATTTATGAATGAAGGCAAAGCAACTCTGAAATTTCCAGATCAAAATTGTTCAATATATTTGTCGAATGCACCACCTGGTCAACTGTTAGTATTTTTGAGGACCCTATATATCAAAATGACAGGTGATAAAGTTGTTACCACTTCCAACAAAACTTCTCTCAGAACTCAGCTATTATCAGGCAAACCTCAACACTTTCAAGAAATTTCACCAGTAACCACTGCAGAAATGAATAAAGCTTTTACAAAAATAAGTAAGTCTACAGACACTACTCCCAGTCCTCTTGTTGGAAAAAAGCGCAAAATTGATCGAGATGATTGCACTAAACCGCCTGCTGCTAAAAGGTTGTATGTACCATCTCCAATCCCGAATGAGCCTCTTGATTTGGAACAAAAAGAAGTCTTGGATGCATGTTTGGGGGGTCACAATATTTTTTTCACAGGAAGTGCTGGCACAGGAAAAAGCTATTTATTGAAAAAAATAATTGGAGCTCTGCCACCTGATGTTACTACTGCCACTGCATCAACAGGTATTTATAATTATAACTTTATTGATTAAGAATTCTTATATACAGAACAGTAAGTAATAATGAGAAAACAATATTTTTTCACAATGTACACTAAAAGTGATAAACATGATTAATGGGATTTACATTAGTGCAGTGTGCAGTGGATATAAAAAATGAATACATGTAAATACATATTCTCAACATTTTATGAACTTCATGAGGTTAAATTTGAATGATGCAAAGTTTTACTTGGCTCAACATTTGAAGGTACCTAGTTCATTATATTAGTAGGATTCATATGAAGATTAGTATTTCTATGAATGTGGTAATTATGTAATTATTTATTTTGACGAATTTATTGAAATAAGAAGGAAATTCTTTTGATTTTTTGATACAGTAATATGCTTTGCTCGATTATCCAATTTTTGTAAGGCTTTCGTGATGTTGAGTTCCAGTAATGAAAGCAAAATCACCCAATAATTTATGTGTTTCTGAATAACTTTTCTACAGACTGTACTTAACTGAAGTTGAATAATCTTGGAGTGGAAGTTCGTGAGATAATTTTTTTTTTATAATTTTGCTGTTTATTTTGGAAGTTACCTTTTGAGTGTAATGTATTGTCAACCATGAACCCAATACATTTGATTCCTTCAACTTCTCAATTTTTCCTTCATATATAAGTTAATAATATTGATCGGTTTATATGTATACTTTGATTTTTTATACTTTTGATTTTCACCTTAATTTTGAAAGTGTTTAACTTCAATTAGACATCAAAAATTCAGAAATATTTACATATTTTCAGTTTCCCAAAAGATTTTAACTACATAACACTGATTCCATAATAAGGTAAATCATGTGAAAGTAGGTATATTGATATCCAGGTCATTTCACAGGAATGATTGATTCACAAACCAGATTTATATTACGATAATTACTGCCTTAAGGTTTTGGGAAGACTGTACTTACTGATTTTTTGTGGGCTAGTTTTATCTGTTTGTAATTAAGTGTTAATAGAGTTGAGAAGTATGGGTCTCATTATATGCATTTATTATTCAGACCCCTTATGAATTTTCTCAATTCAATTGCTGACAGTATATTAAAATGTATCCCAATTTTCTGTTACAGGAGTAGCTGCATGTCATATTGGCGGTATCACACTTCATCAATTTGCTGGAATTGGAAGTGGGGAAGCAACCTTAGAACGAAGTGTTGAGCTAGCTTCAAAGGCATCTGTTGCTAGCATTTGGAGAAAATGTAAGCATTTGATTATAGATGAAGTTTCCATGGTCGATGGAACTTATTTCGAGAAGATTGAAGAGGTGGCAAGGAGGGTAAGAAGAAATGACAAACCATTTGGAGGCATCCAATTGATATTATGTGGGGATTTTTTTCAACTACCTCCGATAGTAAGGCCAAAACCAGGACAGTCCAAATTGACCTCTCCCAAATTTTGTTTTCAAACCAAGGCATGGGAAAAATGCCGTTTAACCACATTTGAGCTGAAAAGGGTACACCGGCAAAATGATGAAAGTTTTATATCAATTTTGAATAAGATTAGAATTGGTAAGTTTATATTTCGTTAGGTTTCTATTAGTAAATATTTCAAATTTTTCATTGGAAACGGCTCTTTAGTTAACACTTTTTGAGTCAAAATAATTATTGACTGCTGGTTAATTTGAAATAAATACATGGGATTTTTTAGAACCTAAGAGGTTGAAGATGGGAGACTCTGTGAATATTTGATTAAAACTATTTAGTTCTTCAAATAATTCCGTCACTTTTGACTTTGGTAATAATAATAATCTTTATTGAAATAGGAAACCTAATATACATATCTATGAGTGTAATAATAACACTAGCATAGTGAAATATAAAAACATGTATGTAAAAGATTTTAAATTTAAACAATTTGAGATTTAAACTAGCATGTAGCCAGACAGTGAATATTACATATAAAGATTTCAGTATCATATGTTAAGTAACATTTAAATAGATAATGAAATATAGGTACATATATAGATTAAATTATTATTAAAACAGTGATATTTGGTTTCATTACAGATACAAATACCCTAGTGAACAATTAAAAACAATAAATGATAGCCAATAATGTCCCAAATAATTCCACATAACTGTACAATTTGTATTCTATTACTTTTTTAAAAATTCTCTAAGTGCTCTTTTAAAATCTTTTAAAATGGATATTTTTTTATTTCTTCAGGTAATTCATTGAACTCGTGGAAACCCTTAAAAATTAACGAAATCATGGTACTTCCCAATGCCGGTCTGTTTATATGTATATTATTGGAATTTCTTGTATTATATTCATGAATGTTTTTATTGAATTTGATGTAATCTTCAAAATATTCTGGTGCCATTCCATTTACAATTTTGTATACTAGAGTCATTGTAAAATAGTAGTAGAGTCTACTTTCAACTGATAAAGAATCAGTTAACCAGTCAATATTAAAATCGCCAACTACCACACAATGATATTTAGTATTAAATAAAACATCAAAAATTTCTTCTAGGTTTTCAATGAGAATGGCCTCAGAACTTGATGGTGAACGGTACAAAGATCCAATCAGATAATTGCAGATTTAAAATTAATTTTTAATATTCTACACCAATAATTATCTCTTAGTTTAAATGTTTTATAATGTGTGAAATTATAACTGTATTTCACATAAAGTATTACACCTCCCGTAAGTCTACTTGTTGAGTTGCATCGTACATGATTATGAGTCTTCAGCTACTCTTTCAGCTTGTGTTTTCATTTTCGATTCCTCCACATTGAATATAAGTAAATTAGAAGCACGTGATTGCCTTTCCATCATTTTGTTTATCAATTTCTCTCTTATCCACAAGAACATTTCCAGGCACATTTACACTATGTGTCATAGAGGTTCTGCATTCCTTAATTTGTGCCTCTAGATTATCAATTTTCACCAATAGGGTAGGAATAAGCTTAACTCCATTTTGGCAGTCTTAACTTAAGCAACTTAAGCGTTCGCTTGCTTTTTAGATCAATGACTTTGAGTTCGCTGACAGGAAGTCCGGAACATCCTCTATGCGTAGATCTTTGACAGCTATCACATTGTATAATTTGGTCACCAGTTGATAGTTTGTATGCACAATATTCCATTTTGATAGACACCAAAATATTGTTCTAAGCACCCGTACTATTTAAACAGACTACAAGAAATATCAGTTTAGTAGTTTTTGTTTTCAGCACCACAAAAAGTATGTTCACTACAATGAGCTATATGCAGTTTCTATTACCAGTTTTGGGATTCTTATTACTTCCTTTTTATATTAATTTTTATTTCTACATGTAAATGAGTTTGCAATGATACTATTTACCGATAATCCCGTATTTTTATTTACTCTGGATCGATTTACTGTACACAAATTTTCACAAATACTTTTATAAATACACACTTTAACTCGCCTCTGAGATACATGATCGTAATATCAGAATTGATATGTTTCAAATGCACAAATACAGGTGTATCCGCCAGTGTTATAATTTGAACGAAAATTTTAAAATCTTTCAATCTTCCAATTACAATATGCAATATGTCAAGGATTGTTAATTTTTTTTTAAGCTAATCATACAAAATATGTTCAATACAATTTTGAACTAGGTGAGTTTTCAGCTATTTTCTTGCGACTCTATTTTACTGAATATTTTAAACTTCTTGAATACAAATGAACTCTCAATGAAGTAATTTTTGGAATCTGAAGTCTGAAATTTTTAGTAGATCGCTTAAAGCGGAAACTTTCATTCACATGTAATGTGTTTATTTTTGTGAATATTCGTCTTTTTGAAAATTAACAGAGACTCCCAGATGACACAATATAAGGACTTGGCTGCATGGTACCCCAGCTCATTGTAAACTAATTGTAACACAATATATTCTGAAGTAGTTTGTTTCTCAACCAAGTTTATATGATCTTTGAATTTCTGCAAACCAACCAAAAAGTGAGTTACTCATCTGAATTATTCTTTTCATTTCTAGGTCAGGTAGATGAAAAAGTTTCTACAACATTGGAAAAAACTGCAAAACAGAAGATAGAACGTGATGGAATCTTAGCCACTAGACTGTGCTCACATACTAATGATGCTGACATCATCAACGGATCTAAATTGAAGGCTCTCTCGGGAGAAAGCATAGTTTTTGAATCCCAAGATTCCCTACCGGGTGTAACAAAACAGTTGGATCAGCAGACACCAGTATCAAGTCGATTAGAACTGAGGATTGGAGCACAAGTAATGCTGCTGAAAAATATAAATGTAGGAACAGGTTTGGTGAATGGAGCTAGAGGAGTAGTGAAAAAATTCGAAGATGGACTACCTGTGGTGCAATTTAAGAATAAAAAAGAGTATACAGTTAAATATGAGCGATGGGTTGTAAAAACAGCTGGAGGAGGGTCCCTATCAAGGAAACAAATACCATTAAAACTTGCATGGGCATTTTCTATTCATAAATCCCAAGGTTTAACTTTGGATTGTGTGGAAATGTCTTTAGGAAGGGTCTTTGAAGCTGGTCAAGCATATGTGGCATTGAGTCGAGCACAAAGTTTGGAGTCATTGAGAGTTTTAGATTTTAAGGCTAGTCAAGTTTGGGCAAATCCTGATGTTTTGGCATTTTATAGAACTTTGAATGATTTAAGACTGATACCTTTGGGGCCAACTAATAAACCTATTCAGATTAGGAAAGATGTTAAAAAAAAATCTTCTGGACTTAAATCTAAGCTTTTCGAAAAACCTTTAGTGACAATTTGTTGAAGAATGAGCTATTCTGATGATAGTTTGTTGGCATCAACAGAGTTCTCAATTTTATTATGTATATAAATCATTGAATTTTGATAAGGAAAGTAAAGATGTTAAATTCATCAACTATGTAATTTTTATTAAGAATTTTTTGACACAATTACAAAATAAAACTTTTATTAGGATATTAATTGATATATAGGAAAGTATGTTAGGAAGTTGGTGAAATTCCTACAAAATCTCAGATCTCAGGGTATCCTTATTGGAAAGATTCAAATTCTGGTTTTTTTCAATGGATATTTTTGGAACAGAGGCTGTCTTGATGTAAAACTCTTGATAATACAACCACTATATTTGTTTTTAGTTGTGCAATCAGTCTATTTGCACTACACAGTTTCAAATATTTGGAAATGTCTTTAATAAATGAAGAGTTCAGTTTTTGATTTTGCAGCAGATTATATTTACACTTTAATTTATTTACATTTTTTTTTTGTAATTTATTCAAATATATTTTTTATCAACATTCATTTTATATTATTGATCTAATGTGTTTCATCCTTTATACCAGACCCAAAACAAGTAGTGTTCCCAATTACCAGAACTGCAACAGTTGATGAGCGTTTCACCAACCAAGTTTGCGTCTCCAAGAGATGAAGTAGACTTATCTAGTGCATCATCATCATCATGGATGCATACTGCTGTATGCATCCATATGCACTCAGGAATATAGGAGAGTTGAATAAGTATTATTTTGTTTGTTAAACATTGAATAATATAAGTAGATTGTTGAGATAGCTCTAGTTTCTAGGTTCCAAGTGTATAATAAAATTGGTCTGGTTTTTTTGTAAAAGACCAGGTTGAAAATCCCCGAATTCTATCGGATTATTCATGGGTTTAGACTGAGTAAATTGTATCAAAAAATCAATTAACCCCCAAAAGTGTGTTAATTTTAGGTTAATTCTAAAGCAAGAGTTTAACTTTAATAGTTCCTTCAAAAGTGTCTCACACTGAACAAAACTACAAATAAGGATTTGCAGAAATAGTCGATTTGTTCAGCAGTTATGATCCAATTCACCATCAAATGTGAGGATGGAGAACATAGGGTTTGCTAAAGAAACCATACTTTGCCAGATACAAAACTTTGTTGAAGAACAGCATATTCTACCTTCGAACCTTTCAGGCTTCTGTAAAGGTCATAGTATAGTTTCCGCATTAAATTTCATCACAGACGATTTCCTCAAGGCCATAGACAACCAAAAAGTGCCATCTCTTACCCTATTGGGTATGTCTAAGGCTTTTGGTACTGTCAACTTCAACTGTCTAATCGCCAAACTCCATTACTATGAGTTTAATGATCGTATTCCAGGTTGGCTTACCAGAATTGTCATTGATGGTTCGGTACTCGCTTCAACTCTTAATCTTTCAGCATAGTCAAACATTTTAAATGCCGACAAAAATAACAACGATCTTATGATCATAAGGCTAAAATAAATAAAGCTAAAATATTTTTATTGGGTCATATTTCAACTTATACCGCTTTAATGAGTTCCTTGTATGTATTGACTACAAATTCATTCCTTCTGCCTCTGCAGCTAAATGTCTTAGTGTTATTATTGACCGACAGCTGTGTGTTAGGAATCACACGTTAAAAGGTAAGACCTCGTTAATCCTTAGCTCGCACAAGTTTCTATTTCTGAGGGTTGTCGTGCGACAACTGGTTAACGGAAAAACATATTTTTTTAAAACAGATTTTATTATTGACCGGCAGCTCAATTTCTCCAAACAATTAGGTGTTGACGCAATGAGAAATCAATTAAATGCAGAGTGCAACAGACTGTTGGTTGACACTGGAAGTCACAGCATTCTGGAAATGACCTCTGACTTTATGCCTCCAACTGTCAACTACGAACTGCCTTATAAAGTAGTATTCCCAAATAGAGAGGACTGGATCCTTCGGGATAAGGAAATATTAAGAGCAGATAGTTCGTTCACAGATTGATCGAAAACACCTTTCGGTTCTGGTGCAGATGTTTTTAGTTGCAGATCCAGGACAGAGATATCTACCTACCTAAGAACTAATGCGACTGTATTTCAAGCAGAAATTTACGCTATTGAATTGTATGCGGAGAGATTGGATAAATCCAACCTCACACACAAGTCAATAAAAATATTCTCGGACAGTCAAGCGGCGTTGGAAGCTCTTGGCTCTCCTACCGAGCAACGTCTAAATTGGTAGCAAATTGCCAAAAACGACTCTCCTCGATAGGAAGACTTAACAGATTGTCTCTAGTCTGGATTCCTGGCCATACTGGCCTGGAAGGTAATGAAGCTGCTGACTCTCTTGCAAAAGAGGATGCTGCAAGCGGCTTCATCAGACCAGAACCTGTTGTTGGCATCGCGTTGAGGTTTGCCAAACAAACATTGAACACCTGGATGGCAAGAAGATTTATGGACTTCTGGCAGAATCTTCCAGGATTGGCTCACTCCAAGGCTTTTATCCACCCTTCGAAGCTTGATACCAAACAGTTGTTGACTACAGTAGGGATGAACTACGATGTCTGACAGGCCTTCGTACTGATCACTGTTATTTGAATCATCATATGCAGAGACTTGGACTGTCGGAAGACAGTGTGTGTCGCCTCTGTTTGGAAAATGATGAAACAGGAGAGCATATACTTTGTGCCTGTCCCGAATCAAGTTCTTAGAGTTCGGCAGATCCGTATTCTTACCATCTGACCTGAAAGACCACTCACCATACAAACTAATCGGCTTCGTTAAGAAACTGGGTTCATTTGGCCGAGTGTGAATATTTGTGAGCCACAATACACCCTTGCGGGTTGCGGTGGAGGGTCGAATAGACCCACTCACTTAAGACCTAACCTAACCTATGAGTTTATTGATAGTATTCCAGGTTGGCTTACCAGAATTGTCAATGATGGTTCGGTACTCGCTTCCACTCTTAATCTTTCAGTGTCGTCAAACATTTTATTAAATTTTATTAATAACGATCTTATGATCATAAGGCTAAAATAAATAAAGCTGAAATATTTTTATTGGTTCCTTGTTCCTTCTATCCTTCCTTTTATGAGTTCCTTGTAAGTATTGACCACGAATTCATTCCTTCTGCCTCTGCAGCTAAATGTCTTGATGTTATTATTGACCGGCAGCTGTGTGTTAGGAATCACACGTTAAAAGGTAAGACCTCGTTAATCTTTAGCTCGCACAAGTTTTTATTTCTGAGGATTGTCGTGCAACAACTGGTTTACGGAAAAACATATTTTTTCAAAACGGATTTTATTATTGACTGGCAGCTCAATTTCTCCAAACAATTAGGTGTTGACGCAATGAGAACCTACCTAAGCCTTAAAAACTATGAATTTTCAAACAGGATCTGGGCACTTACACTGAAAAAATGATTTGCAACTTTCTTGTTCTCTCGCATACTAACTATGCTGACAGTTTATAAACCTTGTTTATCACATAAAGGGCGTGCAAAATGGTAAAAAATGCAAAATCAATGCATTCGTTTTATAAAAACGGTTCCCTCAAGCACATACCACCTTTGAAATTGGATGAAATGCGTTTTGTTCACTGAAGATTTTCACGGTCAGCAATCTGATAATCCAGGTTGAATCGCGTCTGGCGTCTTCTATTGTTCGACTTTGAAACCATTTTCAAGAAGGTTTGACTGCACTGAGGTTTCAATCTGCACACTCTTCAAATAGTGACATGCTTTGAGGATTTTGTGACTTACATCGGGCTCTCAGTCTGCCTACTCCCCAGGTTTCGTCGCTGGTCATCGCAAGGTTCTGAAATCTGCATACTCCGAAGCTATACAATATTTTGAGATGTAGGGCATACCAGTAATGATATCCATGAATGAGGTAATCTTTGTTGAGGCAGTTGGGACATTTATCCAAAAGCTTCACAGATTATCCTGGCAATGATTTTGGTGCTATCAAAGCCTGTCTTGTGGCCTGTTTCACGATGATGTTTGAAGAGGAATTAGGCAGGATCTGATTTACAGACAACAAGCTCATGTTCATAGGCTGTGTTGGAGACTCTCCTGTTGATCTGGCTGATGTGAGTTCTGTAGCAGATGAAACATGGTATTTCGTACCTATATGTCCTGTGCTTTATCGGGTATCGTGTTCTTGAATGTTCGTAGAAAAGTGGAAATTTGATTGTGCGCTGGAAATACTGTTCTTATATCGTGCCTCTTCAGAGGCACTATAAGAACAGTATTTTCAGTCTCACTTTGTCGGTAAATCCATGAATATAAGGAGGAAAAGCTTTCAGGTGGTCCGTCTGTTTATCGGGCTGTTTGGGATGTGGGGTTTGCTGAAGTTGATGGATCTTTGGTTTTTGGTTTCGGGATATTCGTTTCACCGCAGGGCGGATTTGAGTTCGTCTAGTTCCTTGGATCTATCGTGGCTATCATTGACAACAGACAAAGTGAGCCGAATTTTGAAGAGGCACGATATAAGAACAGTTTTCACAGCCAAATTTATACTTTTATACGAACACCTAAGGACACTACCCAATGAGGCACAGGGCATATACGTAATACCATGTTCTACCTGCTCTAGAACTTACATCGGCCAAACCGCAGACCAACAGAAGTCTCCAACAGAGCATATGAAAACTGAAAAACATCGCAGCTACCTCAACAAACGAGATTATTCACAATCTTTGGCGATCCCACATATTGTATTCAGGGTGACGTATATTATTTTTCGTTTTCTGTTGAACAAACCCCTCCATTTGATACCCATAACATTGGGGCGCATAAAAAATTTGTCCGCCATCTTGGGCGGTACGCTATATTGGATTCAGAGTGACATGTTATTTTTCGTATAATTTTTGGCAAACTTTATCATTTGATACTCATATCGTGAAGGTACTTAAAAAAACTAATCTACCGCCTTGAGTGGTAGGGGAAGAATAGATAAAGTGGCCCAGGCAGGTAAAGTGGTCACCTTCTTTTTCCGGACAAACCAATAATAGCTATCTGTCAAAGACATATGGAAATAATTCATTGGTTGACGCCATATTGTCTCCGTAAACACCGGCCGGTGTCCAAAACAAGAGGAAGAATCAGGACGTTAATATAAATACACCAGCTGCAGTTACTCCACCAACATTTGATCCTTACTCAAACCCGCAACCCAGAACATCCTTCGTAATATTGCCTTGCAACATACCTATTTCCGTTTCCCAAAGCATTGCCTAAGACTAGAACTGTGAATAGAAAAAGGGGACGTACGGTAATTTTAACCAGCAGCTCATATAAAAATGAGTCGCAAGAAGAAACAATACAGCAAGAACAAAATAAAGCTTCAAGGAGAGTGAAAAAAGCTACTATTGAACCAACCCCAACTAAAACTGCCAAAAAACTTAAAACTAAAATAAAAAAACGTGGCACGAACGTTGCTAAAAAGAAAAGTTACAAATTACTGAAGACGATGATGACCCTGAATGCTTTCACTGTGGCGAAGTTTGTTCTAAATCAAAACATGAAGATGGTTGGATACAGTGTTCTAGTTGTAAGCGATGGGTCCATGAAGAGTGCTTGGGTTGTGATTTCAACAATAATAACTTTCATTGTGAATTTTGTCCTTAAGAATATTTTCTATTAGGTTCGATTATGAATGAACAACTACAACTAAAAGTTGATTTAATTTGTTATTAATGAATAATTGAGAAGAAGCTAACAAGTTAAGACTTAATTTTTGCAATTAATATAAAAGGCTGTTGATAAGTAAATAAAGACTGTTTATGATGAGTAAACGTAAGTATATTTAGATCAAGAAAAATAAAGTACTCTTGATTATTGTGAATTAATATGTAGAATTAATATACTTATTGAATTGAAAACTGTTTAATTTAAATATTTTTTCCATGCAAAATTTCAATAAATCTGTATTGAAATAACATAATTCTGATGTTTTATTTGAAGTAGGCCACTTTACCCGTTTATGAATTTGTATATGCCATTTTACCTGTCCAGGATAGGTAAAGTTGTCAATTTCCCATTTTGACTTCAATCTTGAATTATGCTGAAATTATCAGAATATTGGTCTGTAAACAATATAATATCGGAACTTAATAAGTACACGGATGAAAATAAATAAACAAACTGTAAAAAGGTTGACATTTATTCGGTTGGCGTGGGTTTAAAGCTTAGGGTGGCCACTTCACTATATAAGTTGACTTGTTGTATTTGTTCCAATATTCATAATGGTCAGACAAAATAACTTTCTCCCTGCAGAAGAATAATAGAGCATTTGCTCTATTATGCTTGGAAATCGATAGGTTTAAAAATTTAGAACCTCTGCTTAATGACTAGTGGGAATTGACTAATTTTCCTTGGCTTGATTTCTACTGATCAACACAGTTGTCAACATTGAAATTTACTGACGGCTTTAATAAAATTGAATCATAGTGAACTGTGGCAAAAGTCATAGATACGATATAATACAGTAATTCATTTTTTTTAAATATTTGTCAACAATCAGAAACACCAGTGAGTCACTTTTAGAAGACCAGTCAAACAATAAAAGAACTACCATGACTCTAATCGACCACCATGACTGCAAATTGCAGCGAGAAGCTGAAGAGAGTATAATTAAACAAATCATCGATACGGGGATTTTCATAAACACACGTAGAAAAATATGTGGAATGTCGGTAATTAACAAAGCACATCCAAAAACTCAACTCTACTATAAATCTTCTGCTGCTTGCAGAAAAGAAGAATTGAGACAAGTAGTGAGCTATCCTATGATGTCGCATCCTTTTTGTATATGGTGGTGAGTAATGATGAAAATGTTAAAACTAGATTTAATGCAATGCAATGCTGAGTGGGTTGTTTGGGTCAGAAGTCCTTTGTCAGATAAGAAGTTTCACTTAAACAGCTTGCATTTTTTTATAAATGATTATTTTATTTTGTTACATATCTGATGTGTAGGTATACTTAGTTTAAATAACGAAAAAAAATGTCTGAGAGAACAAATATTTCGAATTAAATTGAAAAGATGTACCTCTTCCAACGTTTACTACATAGTTAGATTTGCCAAATGTCTGCAGGAAATCATATACTTTCTTAGTCAATACCACGATGGACATTCAACATATATTTGTGCAAGTTTTCTTACAGAGGAATTTCTAGCAGATGCTTCTCATTCCTCCAGAAATATTGAGAGAGGTGAATATTTCGAATTGAATTTGAAATATTCATTTTATTGATATGTTTACATTTCCTTGATACAATCTTCTTATTAATTTGGGAAAAGAAATATTCGTAAATATAATGAATTAAGTGATATTTTTTAATTTGAACGGTTTTATTTTCAAAAAAGATAATATTGATGTAGATGATGTACCTCAAGCTTAAAATTAATTCGGAAGGTCCTAGGTAGCAGTCATCACACCACTTTCCTCAGCAATCTACGGTATGGATAAGATAAAAAAATAATAAAAAATAACATGTTGCCACTCTGATGATGTGTGACATCTCCGATGCAGTACTTTCTAATCGGAACTCAATAAGACACTAATGGTGGCAATTTTGTTCAAAACATCATGGGGAGGGAGTAGGTTTAAAAAAACCTTGACGACCTTTCAAGAACAAAGAGATTTGAATCCACCTGATAAGATATGTTGCTAAAGTATCTACCAAAACCATTTAACAACAGAGCCTTTACCGGTTACTCACAGCTGCTTGTTTCAACAAGATGGTGCTCCAGCTCGTAACGCTAGAATTGTTTGTGATTATTTGAACAGTCGCTTCCCAGGTCAGTGGATTAGTACTCATAGTGATACATCCTGGCCTGCAAGGCCCTCCGACCTAACTCTACTAGACTTTTTCCTTTGAGGATATATCAAGAATCAAGTGTGTGTGTTCATAATGAAAATTATGAGAGTTCTTGCTACTGCATCCTTTAACAATATTTTTCCGAATATATTAACTCAAGTTTTAAATTCGTCTGTGAGACGAGCGTACTTGTGCTTAAACACAATATTATTTAAGTGTTGTTTCCTTTCATTTGTATTGAATATTCCTATACATGGTGGATATGGTGGAAGACCAAGAACCTTGGTCCAAAGTAGAATAATTTACATTATTATTTTAATAATCACCAAAATTTATTTTTGTTTGTGCACACCCTAACGGACATCAGCATTTAGACAATCTTTGGATAGCTAAGTAAGAAAATTAATATATTATAGTAGTAACTAATCCCTCGGCTTTCATTTTCTCCAAAGTTAGGAAATTTTGCTGGTGTTCTTGGGAAAATTTGGATTCCCTCCCCCACCCCTGGTTTTTCTTTTCGCTACGGGCTTGAATAAGACTAATCAATTTACTTCATGTATCAAAATATGACACTTTCTCCAACGCGTAATTGAAGAAAAGCAGGTTAAGTAATCACTTTTCATTTTGGGCGAGAAATGGTTATGAAATCATATTGTGTGATACGTTGCTGTATTCACAATGGAAAATGGAGTCGTATACAGGGTATACTGTTTCCACCCATATAAAAATACAAAGTTGTCGTGTAGTCCTTGAAAAGTGCCAATGGCAAAGTGCTATTTGTTTCACATTTCCTTTGAAAATAAAGCTAGGAGAAAATGAAAACGAAATTCTCAAATTTTGGTTTGTCTCGGATATCTCCGAAACTACTTTCTAAATGGCATATTGACAAATTTTCTTTATTTCAGCTTGTACTGGGAATTTTTCATTTTCTTCGTGTTCTTGCTTATGTACATTTGCAATACAGTGGGAAGTTTTTTCGTTTTTCACGACGACATGATTTTTCGGATAGATCTGGTTAAATTTGTTGGGGATAGCATTCTGTTATTAGACATCATTCATATATTTTTCAAAGGATATTATGATACTGAAAAAAGCCGTACAATAATGAAACAATCACAAGTTGCAAAGTAAGTACTGTTTCTTGTTTTGTAATTTGTAAGTAGATTATGAGTTCGTCCACATTCAATATTCGAATACATAATCTTTGATTGAAACAATCACATCGATCAGTTGTTTCAATTTAAAGAAAAATTGAATTCAAGAAATATATTGTTCAATTGATAACGAGAATGATTTAGAGTAATTCAAATATTCTATTAAACAAACAAAATTTTGAGATGGGTGAAATAGTGGAACTGATTGAAATAATCAAATGTATTTTCTATTCGAGTAAAAGTTAGGTTGAAGAAACATAACATATCTGCAGGATGATGGAGAACTTTGCTTGTTTTGATAATGGGAGAATTTCCACTGAAGTAATGATTTTGTTGAACAAATGATGAATAATAGTTGAACGAACAATGTTTATACCGCACTGTGAGTATCTTGCTGATAGAGTAAATCATTTCGAAAGTTCAAAATGAGTATGAATAATGATCCTTCCCTCTTGTTTGAAATTGGTTATTGGATTCAATCAACCAAATATTATACTAATTTGAGTACCAGCATCTCGTTGGTAGTAATGGAGCTTCAGATCGGTTCTACTGAAAATTAATTTTCTCTTCTCTAAAACTTCAATATGCTTTTTACCATCAAATATTTTTTCATAAAAAAATCACTAGACCATAGATTGTTGTCATCTCCTGCTGATGCTGATTCGATTAGTACATGACGTTTGTAGATAAAAAGCATTACGTAGTTTTAGTATTGAGAAAAGTACTGTTCGGCAGTATCAGAAATACAGAGAGTCATGATTGAATTTACATGAATCTCCATTCGAAAGAGATCAAGTTATTGAATAATTGTGACAATATATTATTATTTGTTCGACAACTCAATTTCTCAATACATGAAATACAATTTGTATCATTTTCTCAACTGGATTATTGATCTAAGCATCCAAACTTCAGAAAGATAAATGGTAAAGACAGCCATCGTTGTATGGCTATATCGAATGATATGTAATAGATCACAACAATTGTTGATTTGTTGTACTCTCAAATTTGAAAGAGAAAATGTTAAAACTCAAAATGATACATAATTTCAAATGAAAAAACTTTCTGTAAATCAATGATTCAATAAAAGACAGCACTGAATCGATCTGTCATATACCTATGTAAATAGTGATATCTGGTCTGGATAACGAATGGAACACTTTTGAATTCTTGTTTCATCTAGTTGCCTGTTTGCAGACAACTCTGTAGTAAGTCAGAGAAAGATTATCCATTTTACAGTTAAAGCGAAGCTGGGCTTTCCTACACACCGCAGTTGAGACCTTTTTTCATCTTAAATGTAGGGAGCTAAGGTTTTCAGTATATCTTATGAATGGCGTTTCCATAGGAATAGTCTCATTTTTACTCAGTATTATTCTAGCCAAGGATAACCCCCTACCACTATTGATCTATGGCACATCAATGACTGTTGTTTATTATTGAATCACAAATGTATGAGCTCTGATTTCATCTAGATTGTTCCATTGGTTTCGAATTATTTTTTGTCAGTTTTTATTTTTGTACGCCCTTTGGTGAAGGATCGAAACTTCTGCTACACGAAATGTTACCTTTTTCAATAGATTCGTTGTAATAAATCAGAGTGGTTTTTTTCTCTTGAGTAACAAATTATTTATTATTTTTAGAGCCGCGAGTTAGGGGCTGTCTAATTTGCCCTTGCCTGATTGTTTTAATGATTTCTTCATATTGACGACTGGTTCAATTCCTGCTTTTCATAGGACGTTGTTTTCCCTTCATTTTTTCATTTGAATCGTAGATCAAGTTGAAAGAATTTTCGAATTACTTTCCAAAACATTCTATTAGTTCACCCCCTCCTTAGAAGTGGTGTCAACTTCTGCTCTTTTTTTGTTCAGTTATTCTAAATTATTTGACCCTTTTTAAAGTAACACATACTTTTTGTGATGTCGACTCCTTCAAACTTTTTTCGAAATTTTTCACAGCTCCTTCAAGCTCCTCTTCAAATTTTCTTCCGACTCCCGTAGCTCCTCTCCTCTCCCTCAAGCTTCTCATCCACTACTTTTTCCAATCCCTCCTTTGTTTTATGATATACTCTTTCAAATTGTTCCTGAATGAAATCATATGCCTCCCCTTTACTCACTTGGCAACATTTTAAATCTTCAAATAAATGAAGGTACATTTGATTGTCTTTTTTGTTTTTCTTGAATATTTCCCAGCAAGTCTCTGTCTTTTTCCTGTTTTTCCTGAATATTCAGTAGCAATTCACGGTCTTCATTTCGGCGTAATCGTTCTTCTTCCCACCTTCGTTCTTTATTCTCCGCCAGGCCCGCTTGCAAAGCCTCGAAAATTTTATTAAGTGATTCCATTACGTCGTAATACGACACTCCTTGTTTTCATCATAAAACATATTTCATTTCTGGCATCAAATGTTACGTTTTCCCGGGGTGGGTTTGACAATAATAATTGACAATAGTTCACTGCCACACTGATAACACAACACGTACACTTCAACTGAAACTTCAGACGAATACTCAAGTGTCTATCCCGTCATTAGATCACTTCGTACCGCACTTTCAACTGAACTTCACGACCTGTGTGTTGGTAGTGTTTACATATGGTAATGGAAGTATCTCGAAGACGATAGGGAATTCGCTAGAAGTCTCTCAAAGCGATGCGACATCTAGAACAATCGCGAAGCGCAAGTCGAGTTGAGCGCGATCTTGGCCAAGTCACAATCGATTTACGACGACCAGCAGCGGCTGGTGTTATTTTTTTCAGGGGATGATTTACAACAATATTCATTTGTAAATGACATTAAACATTTTAATATAAACTTCAATTAGGTCAATGTAATTGGATATCGTTTTTATATGACAATATTGATAGTTTTTTTTGCATACATGATGGATTTCAGAAAATATTTTGAACTAATTTTCCATCAGATACATATTCCCAAGCAATTGTCCTTCAGGTTCTCACTAGATAGATGTCGTTTATTATTATGTGTTTCAAGGTTCTATTTGGTATAAAATAGTTTCATAATGTGGAGATATACTATTTACGGGCTCAGATGCCTCTCTCTAAGTATTAGTTTAAATTAGGCTAGGACAACAGTGTTTAAACAGTGTTAGGACAAATGTATTTAAACTTTTATTCCGAAAGACGACATCCACATCGAACTCTGTTCAAGTTATTGGATCAAAATCTCACCAGTTTGGTTAATTTGAAAAGTCGAGGAAAAAATACGGAGACAGAATGGACCAGAAAACTAAAGAAAATTGGATAAATGAGGTATGTATAGTTAGACATTGTGTCCTTTTGAAAAAAAATTAATAATTTGCAGATAAACATGGACCCGGGGAAATCTACACGTCAAATTTCTTCCGAAATTAATATTTGTCATACAAGTGCTTGGAGACATATAAAAAAAAACGGTTTAAAATGTTACAAAATACACATATCTCAAAAATTGTATCCAGGTGATCTCAAAAGGCGATTAGAGTTTTGTAATTGGCTAATAAGAAGACCTGATATTCCTGGAAAATGTAATTGGGACAGATGGAAGCATTTTTACGAATTGTGGCATATTCAACCGAAATAACAAACACATTTGGAGCATAAACAACCCCAGGCAGTTCCAAAAAATTCGACCTCAAGTGCGATTTAGTATTAACGTGAGGGCAGGAATTTACAAATATAGAAATTTGGGTCTTCATTTATTTGACGGAATTCTGAATGGAGAAACCTATCACCAGTTATTAATGTCAATTTCCGGAGACTAAGTTTTCAATATCTCCAATTTTTCGAGAAAGAATGATAACTTATGATACATCATTGAAAAGGTAAAATCTGGTTCTATTCAAATCAGAAAGAATCCATTGTAACGCCCATAAGAAAAAATAAAGTAGATGATGGTGGCCGGAAGACGAAACGTCGGATAGCAAATCTGAAAACATCATTATGTAGCAGGGAAGAGGTGGCAATGTGGAAGTGCAATTTATTTTCGAATCCTTCGAAAAATAATGACAGAAAAAATAAAAACCATTTTTCAAAATTTCTGTTTTTTTTTCGGATATCTCCGGATATACTCCGAATTTCAGAACTTTTTCAACGGTATATTGTTTGTCAGGTAAATGCACAACTTTGCCCAAATTTAACCACCTTCGTATCTCTCATAGTTTCCGAGATTCCAATGGTGAGGATAGAATTTGAAACACCCTGTATGTAGGTATGAGAGTAAATAATTGATAGTAAATATGAAAAATCTGACCTCATTTTGAATACCTGTGTATCATGTTTCCTTACTTATTCCAGAAAGTATCTGATGACTAACTTCTTCATAGATGTAACAGCATCAGTTCCATCCTATATCTTTTTTGTACTTTTATTCACTAATGTCCAAATATCAAATGGCGTAATGATGTGTATCCGGTTCATTGGACTATTGAGAATCCTCAGGATTGGTAGATGGTTGGACACTATGGAACTGTTCAGACAGGTAAAGACTTTCATGCTATACAGTCCTATGCAGGTTTTTTCACTAATGCTAAAACTTTCTCTTGACCTCAAAATTATTTCTCATAGAATTCATAACATTCTTACTTATTGCGCAACTCATAATATTCGACAATGTGACGTTAAACATATACAGGGTGGGCCATCGAAAACTTGACATGGAGGTTTTGGATACTAATCTTGCAAATCCGAAAAAACGCTCAGACAGGTCGATTTTCATTGGGAGGGGGTCAGTTTTTTCTCCATTTACAGCGTTGATACTTCAACCCCGGAGCAGAGGGGTGAACAACCCTTGGAATTTTAATAGGGAACTGAGGGCGAGTCACATCGTTTGAAAGATCTTGGAATTCTCTAAATAATGGTGTACTTTTTTAATTTGAACGAACCATACTAAATTCAAAGTTGAAATTACTTACTTTATTCTCATGTTAGCAAATGCTCAAAATGGGCACCTCCAGCTTCCATGCAATAATAGAGATTCTGCTGGAAACGTTCTCGAACATTGTGGAGCACTTCTGAAGTGATTTGGCGATATTCATTTGATTCGTTGCCGTAAATCTTCAAGTGATGCAGGATTACAATAAATTCTGCTTTTCACATGTCCCCACAGAAAGAAATCTAACGGCGAAAGATCTGGTGATCGTAGTGGCCATTCGATAGTCCCCCGCCTCCCAATCTAGTGATCCGGAAAAGTCTGATCTAAATACTGCCAAACAGGCAGAGCATAGTGCGGAGGAGCACCATCTTGTTGAAATATTAACAAATCCTCCGATAATTGTGGTAATTTTCAATAATATCAGTGAGAAGGGGATACATACTATCTTACAGAAGATCCAGATACATTTGTCCGGTTAAATTGCCTTCTAAAAACAATGGGCCAACAATACGGTCACCAAAAATTCCAGCCCATACATTTAATTTTTGTGGATGTTGAGTATGCACTTCATGAAAAATGTGAGGATTTGAATCAGCTCAATAGCGACAATTATGGGGATTAACTGTGCCATTTAGCAAAAAAGAACATTCATCACTGAAGCAAATATTGAACACAAAAAGTGGATTTTCCACCGCTCGTTCACTAACCAACTCGCAAAATTGCAAGCGCCGACTGAAATCATCTTCATTCAGTTCTTGCGTTAATTTAATCTTATAAGGATGCATTTTGTGGGTTTTTAAAATACGCCAAATGCTAGTTCGTGACACCCCGGAAACAAATGCTAACTTTCTTGTGCTCAAAGTATGGTCAAGCTCAACATGGCCCAGAATTGCCACTTGTGTCGCCTAATTTGTTACTGGTGGTTCGATTTGCCGTTTTTTATTTGCTACAGATCCAATTGCCCGAAATTTTGCAATTAAATCGAAAACATACTGTCGCGACACATTCTTCCCATGTTGTTGATTGAACAGTTCAGCGGCTCTCGCAGCACAACGTCTATTTCCATAGTACAGTTCAATCGACTCAACTCTCTCTGCAGTTGTGTGAACCATTAATTCTTTAGCAACACTTTACGGCACTCACTACTAGTAATAATGTAGATATCAATTTTAACATAAAAATGAGAAATAGAAACAGCATTTTAAACCATTTCTCAATTGTAATAGTCCTCTTATCAGAGAATAACTAAAAAATTAACAAAAAAGTAGCGTAATGCGTAATAAACAAATGAAAGAGTTCCAAATACACTCCAACTGAGCAGTGGCGTACAACAATGTGTTGCTATTAACAATATTGGAAAAGTTAATAATCGGAAAGAACTCTTTTGAATGCGTCCAAATTTAAAAAAATGTACACCATAGTTTAGAGAATTCCAAGATCCTTCAAACGATGGATGTGCGACTCGCCCCCAGTTCCCTATTAAAATTCCAAGGGTTGTTCACCCCTCTGCTCCGGGGTTGAAATGACGACGCTGTATATGGGAAAAAACTGTCCCCCTTCCAATAAAAATCGACCTGTCTGAGCGTTTTTTTGGATTTGCAAGATTAGTACCCAAAACCTTCATGTCAAGTTTTCGATGGCCCACCCTGTATTTATCCAGAGGAAAAGTGTGTTGAAGAACTGATAAATAATAAACCCTCCCAATTACCTACACAGTAGGCTTTGGTAAACGTTTATCGGAAAACAACTACTTCTCCGGCTAATATCACGCTTGATATTACATTATATCCGACAGACATTTATGCAATATACATCACAGAGGCTAGTCTCGCATATATTTTTCGTTCATCCTGGAACAGGACCATGCTGAAATTATTGAAGTAAATCACCTGCATACCGCGGTTTCGAGGTATGCAGGTGTCAGTACAGAAAAGATCCTACCCAAACAGCAAAGTGCCTGAGACTCGATTAATTTCAACACGCAGCATAGTCATTTTCGTTTGTTTGAAGGTGATTGACAATGTTTCATGATGAATTTCATTAGTTCGCACTTCCATTGTCTGATATTATATAAAATGATTTGAAATCCCTGAAAAAACTAAAAAAGAATAATTGAAAATGAATAGCTGAAAATGACAATTGTATTAAGCAAAACACCTGAAATGAAATAATAGTGAAATAAAATACAAGTAAAAATAGAACAATTGAACAAAAAATAAAAATAAAAAGTTGAGACTCCAAGCCAAGTTACTTCACGACGTTTCGTTTGTTAGTATCCACAATCGTCTTCGGGTGATGACTGGACTAATTTCTCCGAGGGATGACTATTTATGGGTCATTCGAGTACTTACACTTATCTCCGCTTTCCTTTTTCCGCTTCACTGGTTTATTAGTAGGATATGACCGTTTGGCAGGAGTTGGCTATTTTTCGCTTGATTATGGATTTCCCTATGTGGCGTATATCTCTACGCTAGCTTGGCTGGATACATTGTTGGACAGCATGTAGGTATGCGGCTTCTTTGAATTTCCTCTCAAACCAATGTTCCTCTCTGTGTATGATCTTAGCTCGGGACCACTCGATATTATGTTGATGGGTCCAAACATGCTCTGCTATTCCTGATTCGCTGGTTTCCTCTCGCTGTGTGTGTTTTTTGTGCACATCACAGCGTGGTATTAGGTGGAAAAGTAGACGTTTACCAGAGCCTACTGTGTAGGTAGTTGGGAGAGATTAATATTTCGATACATTTATGATACATTTCGTCATTCTATATGATAGAAAGAGAAAAAAATGTGCTGGTTATCAATGTTGTCAATGTTATTTTCCGTAAGAAAAGTAAACGAAACATAATCATTTGATATTAAACGAACTTCAACTTCGAATAAAATGTGTCTTTCTTTCAGTACATGAACTATTCCAGTTATCTTTTCAAAGGTATCAGAGCAGTTTCAATGTATATGATTATGATGGCTTCGTTAATTGCGACTATGATCACCGTATTGAATGCGATACATATATTCAAATTCGAAATAACTGCTGTTACAAACAAAACAAAAATGATGTTTTCAGTAATTCTGACCTTATTAGTTGTGAGCCATGGAAACACTTTACCAGATAATACAGAAGTTGTAACGGTGATTACATTGTTCCTGTGCATAGGATACATTATGCAACTGTTTTTGTACGGTAAGTACAAACAGAGACTCACCAAAAAAAAGTTTTCAGCCCATATCATTATTCTTATTAAAATTTGGCAACCAAACTGTATTTAATAGAGTTAGCTTTATTTCAATGTGAATTGTTACTGGCAACAATGGCATAGGTCTTGGTAGGGAAGAACTATTTTGCGGGTCTGCAGGTCAATGAACATTGTTTTTGTAATCCTGTATGAAGACTAAAATCCTTACAGGTCGGGCCATCCAGATTAGGAACTCGACCAAAATCATCAATTCTGACAGAGAAAATTTACAACGTTCAGAAAAATTCAAACTTATCAGAATATTGAAGATAAATCTTGCTGATAGGCAAAGTTTCTTGCAGGTCGAGCCACCCAGATATGAATCTTGACATGAATAATCATTTCCGACAGATAAAATGTTCAACTATCACCTTTCGGGTATATAAATAATTAACATTTCGCGCATCCAGATTAGGATGTCGATCGGATCAATCACCTTCGACAAAAACATTCTCACACCGACCCTTCGGATATGACGAAATTTAATTTCTTTCACGAAAGTGAAAATTAAACTCACAGGTCTGCCGAAATGTCAAACTCCCACCCTTCACAAGTGAATGAAAAAATTCACATTTCTCATGAAATTGAAAATAAACTTTGCAAGTAAACAGGAATTCTTGCAAGTTGGGCTCCTCAAATAAGAATCACGACCAGATTGATCATATTCAACAAAAAATCCAACCCTTCACCTTCAAATTTTGTGGGAAATGTGTATTTTTTTACACGCGAAGGGTGGGGATTGGAAATGTTTTTGTTGTCAGTGATTAATCCGAACCTGCAAGTTTTATTTTCAATTTTATGAGAAATGTGATAATTTTGTGTACACGAAAGGTGGGGGTTGGAATTTTTTTGTCGAAAATGAATGCTCTGGTCGTGTAAGGATTATTTTATGAGAAATGTGAGTTTTTTTATACAGAAAGGGCGCGGGCTAGAAATTATGTGGGAACCCCAACCTGCAAAAATTTTTGCCAAACTGCAAAGTTCATTTTCACTTTCATGAGAAAGGTGAAGTATTGTTTATACTCGGAGGGTGGGGGTTGTAGGTTTTTTGTGAAAAATGATTATTTTAGTCAAGATTTTTGTAAAGGAGGTTCAACGAGCTAGGTACACCAAGAACAATTTGCTGGCTTGCAAACCTGCTAAATCGTTAGACCCATTTTGAAAAGGCAGTTGTCACATTTTGTGTTATCGCCGGTGAGTTTAACCCTTTAGTGGGCAAATGATGTCTGTTGCCATTTTGAATTTTTTTTAGAATGTTCTGATAATAAAGTAATTAGAGAAAAAACAAGTTTTGTAAAAAAAATTCTGTTCGTTTTAAAAAAAATATCGGTGGGAATGATTTTTTCCACCGTCCATCTTGGACACCAACATATTTTAAAAACAAAAGAGTATAATCCATAAAAATTGATTAAAAAAATATTTCATAACCTGTTTCAGATATTACGGAGTTTTCTGAAGCAAACAGGCATACAAATTGACACTTTGCACTGAGATCAGGTATATGCTGTTCTTTTTTCATTTGCTTTAGTACTGCAAATTCTGCATCTTCTGTAGGTCCCCTTTTCAGGAAAATGCGATCCCACTTGAGACAATCTTACTTCTTCAGATAGAGCTTTCTTATTTGATAAAAAGTGTACTGGTTTTCCCCGTCTCTTCCTGCTGTTGTAATTATTTATCAATTGTCGCGCCAGTGTAATGCGAGAGGAAAATTGGTCACATAGCGTACGACAAGAAATTTGATATAAGATGTAGCTATTGACTACAGATAAATCAACCAAAAAACATAATATACGGTCCACCACTTCAGTGATCGTCTTCCGATAGCATATCTCTCCTTTTTTGGTCGAATTTATCGACGCCGCCCATATATTTATTATATAAGTCGACTTTGGGACAATAAACTGTGTCTCTAGTTCCATCTCTGTTCTTTCTTTTCACAGTTGTAACATCTTTTGGAGATGCCGCCATAGTCAAAAGGGTTACAATTATATGAATACAACAAAACTCTTACAGTTATTCTTCAAACTCCAATCTGAAATGTTATTTATATCCTTTTGCTGATATGTACAGTCTCGGACTGTTTGGATTTCAAATCATCAGCAAAAAGAAGGCAATCTATATATTTCAGAGTTGACTGTAAATTATTGATGAAAATTATGAACACAAGTGGACCTAGATTCGATCCTTGAGGTACACCTGACCTAGCTGGAAATTTATTAAATTCTATATTTACTCAATTATCATGAAAATTGTTTTTAGACTCCTTATACTTCATTTGGTTGCCCAGATATAGCCATTGTAGGTACATACATACATATAGATGGAACTGAAGGTTTCACTTCAGTGGTGTGGTTCGAAGCACACACGCTTTTTTTAATTGAAATTATTTGCGGCCACTTTTCCACTGGCAACCTGTCATTAATGTATTCTCCTATAACTGTTTGGTTAACTACGCTATGGACGTAGTGATTGTGCAGCGGGATCCCAGACTAGTAGAGAAATCCAAACCGACCAATCCAACCGGCAGTCGCATCCAGCCAGTTCCGGATCGTCATAGTCAGAGTGCATCGACAACTCAAGTATCGAAGCAAGATACCTGGGAGTCACCCTCGACAGGAGACTGACGTTCAGGTCCCACATACGGCAGAGACTAAGGCTGGCGAGAGCCGCCCGACAAAACCTATACCCAATCATAGGCCGCAGCAGTAACATGGGTCTCCATACTGAAAATCGTATACTTACAACCTTGCAACCAGATAGTCGAATATTTGGCCGCCGAATATCCGGCGAAACGTTGCCATTTACTTTTTTTCTTGGTGTCATCGGCATCGACTACATTGGTCATTCGCCTCGTGTCCTGGGTAGGCAATGTTAATAACACTCCGAGCCACCTAGAGAACATCATGACTATTCGCAACTTCAACTAGATAAACACCCTCGAGAAAAATTTCTGTTCGAGGTTGGGATCAAACTCACCATCTGCCAGTCGTGAGTCGGGCGCATTACCACTGCGCCAATAAACCCGTTGCCATTTAGTGCATCTCAAGAAGCACGTTTGCGTTAGGCAGCGCGCGAACCCTTCAAAAGGGAGGGCGAGGTCCAATTCGGATCTTTTCGTTGATTTATCATATATTCGGGTCTTATTGAAAGCTGAATTAGAAGCTCGTGTTAACTCCATAAGTCAAGACTCAAACTAGTTGACTGCAACTTACCTAAACCCGAGATTCAAAACTAATTGGGGGTGCTTGGGGGAGAAGAGACAGAGTCAGCTTTATCTCGCAAAGCTCATAAAACGTTTCGGGATTGCTTTGATAAGGTAGCAAATGAAAATATTACTAGCCAACGTCAACGTGAAGACAGAAACGCGATAGCATATGACCTTAATTTTTATCTCAAATCGGTGCGAATTGATGGCAATTGTGACCCTCATTTTTGGTGGGCCGCTAATGCTAAACTCTACCCAAAGTTCACCAAAATCTATCTTCCAGCACCTTGCAGCAGTGTGCAGCGAAAGCCTTTTTTCTGAATCTGACCTTATTTACAATCACAAACGAATCCGCTTGCTACCTCTTGAAGCAGACAAATCAGTATTTATTCACTATAATTTTCCCTTATTGCAGTATGAGTACTAATTCATTTCCTTTTGTCTTGGGATACAGGTTTTTCGAAGAAATGACGCAACTCACTACCAGAAGTGTTGCTTTGCTGAGAAGTAGGATTGCAATGATTTTTTTCACAGAAAACAAACAATCAAAATTTTGAAGATTTCTTAGTAACTTTTTACAGAAGTTGAATATTTTTGTGTTTTTTAATGTACCACTCCAAATATAAATTTCATTAGAAATGCCATGCCAAATTTAAAATAGGAATAAGATATGTAGGTATACTTTCTGAAATGAGGAGTTTCCTCTGTATGTTACAATATAAAATATTATAAGAATTTACTGTTCGAAGTCTACATTTTTCTTATATTCAATTGTATGAAAATTTCAGCTCAAATTTTACAAGTTTTTAACAAATTTGCAAGAGCCAGAGATACAAACGAGAATTTACTTCGACAGTTCAAGGAATATATGAAATACAAGGGATTACCCTCAAATCTCAGAGAGAGAATTTTCACGTACTTCCAGTTTAAATTTCAGAATGAATTTTTCAGCGAACCCCAGATCAATTCCATGATATCGGAACTTCTGAGACAGGTAAGTAATAATTATTATAAAAATCATATATATGTTCAACTGCTTTTTGAAAAGAGTAATAGGTAGATAATTGTCTACCGTTATGCAGACTATAGAAAAAATATTTCACAACATGTATTAATAGAGAGAATGAGGATTTCGAAACAAATACTGTAAAGAATTAACTGTCTTAAATAAATTCATTTTTAACAATATTTCACTATCACAACTAATTTATATACAACACTAACGCTTAATTTATCTTCACTCTTCGAATCCTTTGTTAACCGCTCGATTCGCTTTCTGAATACAGACTCCCTCTCTGAACGGGAAGCCGTCCTTTTATATTGTTAACGATCGCTCTAGGTTCCTCTAGGGGTTTCGGTACTCATCTATACTTTTCGCGGTGAGTCATGTGTTTGCTGGCTGAGATATCGGTCAGGGCCGGCTTCAGATTCGTTACAATACTTTTATATGAACACTGAATTATACAGAAAACTCTTTTCTCTACTCAGTTTATATTAGAAACATTCAATATGGAATTAAATAAGATATCATCCCCAGGATTTCTACACAATATACTTAATGAAACGTAATAATTTCACTTACATGGAACTCAGTCATGCTCACTGGTAGAAATCGATGTTTCGCCGTAAGACTTTGAAGAATATAACTATTGGCATAATGTTTATAATATATCGTGTAATTAAACAAAGTGGCATAACAGTAATGTTCGATAAGGAAATTTTGCCAAGCATAAATCGCCGCTATGTAATGAAGTGGCACATGGAAAATTGCAAAAGTTATAAACAAATTAAGATGTAAAAAAGGTATTTAGGTTTCTGTAAATATTTCAAAAACTATTGTTTATAATACCTGGTCTGACACTTACCATGACTATAGTACTAGGCATNGAAATATTGATGCAGTTAATATCCATCCATTATAATAAATTTGGGAGCTTCATGATAAAATGTACATACATTTTCTTTAATCAAGGGAGTTTAAAAGAATCCAAATCCAAAAACTATGTAACTGAATTGTTTGGTTAATTTTCAGGAAATTCTAGAACATGTAACGAAGAAACACATTAATAAATCAAAACTCTTCAGCAGCCTTCCAGAACAGGTCCTTTTACAAATCGTATCCCATCTGAAGTCTGTGATTTACCTACCTGACGATGTTATAGTGACGGCTGGAAAACGAAGTCAAACTATGTTCTTTATAAATTATGGAACAGTAGCTGTATTTACTGCAATGGGACAGGAGGTAATGAAATTATATCCGATTAAATGTTTACATGAACTTTGGTAAGGTGTAAGAGTATTAGATAAATATTGTTATGTCTACGGGTTTTTTGAAGTCACTTCTCCATGAGTCATTGTGCTGACTGCCTTTCCTTTCAAAATTATTCATCATTGCTTCAGTACATTCTTAGAACGTGATAGACAGCACTCATGCATCTGGCTACTTGCATCATTTGAATATGTAAGAATGTAATATGTCTAATCTGGCAAAAAATCCGTTTTTAACTGAAGCGTATGCAGTATTTCTTATCAGAATTCAAATTGCTGAAGCAATGAGTCCTTTCAAGACTAGAATTTTCTTTGATTACCCTGTTGGTCTGGGCTCTGACTAATTTTTTTAAATGATTCATTAAGTAGTTTTTATGCATCCATTACTGCTCAAAAAAATTACTTTGTTTCTTTTAACACTCTCAACCAAAACATTGTAAAAAAATAAAAACTGACAGAAACGAAGAATCACATTGAATTGGATACTCTATATTAGATGTTATATCAGTATGAGTAATAACTTGAATAGCTACTTCAACAATATCCCAATAAATCTGAAAAAATTAAAAATTCAATGGAGAATTTTATACAAGATGTAAAAAGGGCAGACTTTCAAGTTCACCCCGATAAGTTACTGCGTAAATCCAATGTTCGACAAAAAAACTTTGATTTGTTCCACAAAAAGTGACTTACCATCAATATTCGTCAAGGATTGTGAAACAGCGTGGTATATATTCCTTTGGACATGATGATGTCAGCATAAATTTATTAAAAAATGTATCAATTACTTCAAGTTTTCAATACTGGAACTAATTAATATGTCTCTGTATTGTGGAGTTTTTCTAAAAAGTTTTAAAATAGACACAATAATATTAAAAAAAAGGAAATGAAAGATGAGAACTATCCGAACTACATATAGTTACTGCTGGTTACTATTCCTTCTTTATGAGGTGCAACTGGCATTCACTGATTCTTGAGGTAATCTTATATCTGGTTGCTAGCGTCAATTATAGCGAGGTATTTCCTAATTTGTACCCGGTACCAGAGAGTTAGGGACGTTAATTGTAATTAACATCCCAAACACTCAGTATCAAACAAACACTGACATTATTGTTAATGGTTGTTTACGGTTATTATCCCTACTTGATTGTTTTCCAAACTGTCGGAATATTGAATGACTCATCACTCATATTAATTAACGCATGTTTTCTATCTCGATGTCTTCTCTAATTTACCGGATTCTTGGCTTTGTATCTGGGCTATCTGTTTTGTGGAATCGAAACTGATCTCGTGGCCTGTCTATAGGTGGTGGTGAAAAAGGGCAGATGATGTTTGCTTTGTTTTCAAAGAATTTTTGTGCTCCTGGGCCGTAGCAGGTATCCTGTTGGTTTAGCCGATATATTATTGATTGCAGTCACCGCATGCAATACTGTAGACCTGCTGATTTCCAAGTGATATTCTGTTTTGTGGTCTGAGTAGTAGTCGTGATACAGTTCAATGTGGTTCATATACAGTTCGGATATTTCGTCTCCTCAGTATTCTCCCGATTTTGTTGCTAATATCTTTTACAAAAGGCAACATTTCGGTCTTCCTTTCTTGTGATGCGGGTCTTGTTTAGTCTAGTTTTTACGGTGTGTCTTTGTTAATTGATGGCTCTTTCATCAATTGTCTAGAGTTCTTATCCGTTTTTGTCGCATTGCCTCCTAGGTCCCTTCCAGTTCTGTTGTCCTATCGGCCAAACTAACAGAACGATATCTGCTAGGGCCTAGGAGCACACAGACTTTGAAAACAGAGCAAACATCATCTGTTCAATTTCAAAACCATCTACAGACAGGACGGGACATAAGATCAATTTCGCTTCCACGAAACAGACAGCCCAGATGCAAAATCCGGCAAATTAGAGAAGCAATAGAGATCGAAAAACGGGTGAATTCAGGTGAGAGGTGATTCATTTAATGATACAAAAATTTGGAAAACACTAATCAGGAATAATGAACAATCAATAATGAGTTCTAGTACGCGCCAACTAAGATGAGTCAGCGCAGAAACGTAAAATCGTTTCTGTGTTAAAAGACTCAGCCCACTTAAGTCAAATTTCGCCAATGTACCTACTATTGACATCAGTTTATGTGACCAATAGCTATTTTCTGGGGCGGGTACAATTTGGTTTTGAATGCGCATCATAATCTCATCTTAGTTGGCGCGTAACAGATGTTTCATTTTTAGCTGATGTAATTAACATTCCATCAACAAACCAAGAAGTACCTCGCTATAGTTTACGCAAGTGAAATATAAAAACACCTCAAGAATAACTGAATGCCAGTTATGTACTGGATACAGCCTGTAAAGTCGTCAGGAGTTCGGATCCCCTTCTCTGCATGGTCCGGTCCTGCATGAACTCGGTATAGTTTTCGACACTGAACGAGGTGACCACAACTCTGTCACCGAGTTGGAATCCTTACAACAAAAAACTTAGATAAAAGCCTCAGGGATCACCTTACTTCTGCGGAAACACAAGGATAATGCATGGGGTCTTCTTCAATAACATTGGAGACCTTGGCTTATCAAAGCGCCTGACGTTCGCTTTTCTCAGGTCGAGTGGGCTGAAGTCGGAAACTGAGGGATTTATCATGGCTTGCAGGATAGTGTCTTCAACACCTTAGTCTACCGCAGTCGCGTGATGGGTATAGAGGTTCCTGACACAAGGTGCAGGGCCTGCCGCGAGGCGCCCGAGACCCTAATGCACTTGCTACCAGAATGTCCAGCATATGCGGTCTCGGCCTATATCCATCGATATAACGCTGCCCTAAGAGTGCTATATTACCATCTACGGCACTCTTACGGTATTGACGAAACACCGGTGTTGCCCTACGCTCCGGGGGATATTGAATCCGTTGTGGGGAACGAGAAGTGTCGAATTTATTGGAACTATTCGTTCCCCACCCTCAGGCTCACACAAGCTAATAAGCCTGATGTAGTCCTTCTCGACCACCAGAGCAAAACGATTTTTGTCGTGGAGTTTCAGTTCCTGGCGAGACAAATATTGTCAAAAAAGAAGTGGAAAACGGATAAAATATCGAGATTTTCACTCTGAACTCCGCAGACTCTATCCAGATCACTCTGTCAAGGTGGTTGTTCTGATTATTGGAGTCCTTGGTGAAATGATGCCCTCTCTACTCTCGAATCTAAAAATCATACCGGCTTGCCGCGCTCAGGCAGAAATCTTAGCCGCACACATACAGTAGGCTGTCATTCTTGGCTCACTGTGCTTGCTCAGGGCACATGATTATCGAACCCAATGATCGCTTACCCCACGGTGTGGGGGGTGGTCATTGCTGGTTGATAATGCTGGCACGCCCTCCCGAATGTATCGTGGCTTCGGGGGCTAGGGCCTGACCAGCGCACACTACGGTGAAAAAAAACCAGATGATGACAAATTGTAAATTATCATTATTTTTATAATCTTTGGAATTGACATTTTGTTCAACCAATATATATCTTCTTGTTTGTTCTTTTATGCGGATAGAACGCCTTAGTGCAGGTAAATTTGCCTGTATTTGGGATACATCAGGTAATATCATTTGTGTTGCATTTTCTCTAGGTTCACTGTTTCTAGGAATGTGTATTGTATCATGTAATATATCAAATGTTAGGTCTTGTGTTTTGATTTGTTCCTTGATAAGTGAATTATGCCTTTAAATTTATGGATGTTTAAGTTTTTCCAAATGTCCATAGGGTTTCCTTTATTGACTTATTTTATACGTTTATGTTCTCTGGTGGGGGAAATTTATATTTGTTTTGTATGGCGTGTGTTGCGAGGTTTGATTTATATGTTATTAAGTTTATGTATGCCTTTTTGTGCTCGTCGTTCCTTTGGATCAGTTTTTTCTTGGTTTGACAGATATAGAATTTGTTACAGTCCGACCATTGTATGCAGCATACAATGCTCGGACTCAAGATACTGATGGAAAACAATAACAAACTCTGCAAACATCACACTGATTTAACATTAACAATGACATCTTTAAAATTTTCATTTTACAGATTGCTCAACTTCAGTAGTGATGAATAATAATGAATACATGTGAAGTAAATTTAATTTACAGATGTACCATTTGGAAGATGGGGACAGCTTCGGAGAAATGGCTTTGGTATTCAATGAGTCTGCAACTGTAACAATTGTAGCAGTTACTCCCTGCGAGTTATTTAGGCTGAAGAGATCTGATTTTTATTCTGTCCTAGATCTTCATGAAGATCTGAAGGCTGAAATAATCTCCAGATCTCGTAGTAGATTATTGAAATATAGAAGCGAATTTAGTTAATCCCAAAAGTATCAACTTACTTATTAAGAAAATGTGTGTTTATTAGTTATAAATAATAATTAAACATAGGCTTTGATTTAATAATTGTAATGTGTTATTTGAATTTGTTAATAAAATAAAAGATAAAAGCTTTACATACATTTATTAATGCCAATCCAAATCTATAAAATTGTTATATAATTATTCCAATGATTACAAAAAAAATTGAAGAAGAAAGTTATCTTGAACTGCTAGAACTCGACCTAGAATGCTTCCTTCTTCTTGGTGCTGGACTTCGTGAATGAGGTCTTCGTCTAGGTGGACTTCTTCTCATGGGCCTTGGAGGAGATCTTCTCCTAAATCTTGGAGGAGTCCTCCTGTGGGGAGGGTGTCTTCTAATATGCATTGGAGGAGATGATCTTCTTGGAGGTATAGGTCTTGGTTTAGGAATAAGAACAGGTGCTGCAGTTATTTCTTGACCATCTATTTGTCCCCCATCCATGTGCTTCATTGCATTCTCTGCTTCGTCTGCAGTAGTATATTCAACATAACAGAACATTCGACCCAAATGGGGATGAGTGAGGTCCTTTGGAAACTCAACATGTTTGATGGTACCATATGTGCCAAATATTTCCATAATATGATCTTTATTAACTGTTCTTGTAAGACGACCAATGTGAATCTTTGTAGGTCGAGGAGTCGGAGAACGACGACGACGTTTTCTTGGAGATCTCGACCTTTAATTAATACAAGTAAGTAAAATCACGGATATCCTAATTTACATAACAAGTATATAAAAAACAACAAATCAAAATAAAGGCAGTAATGTGACAGTGAATCTTCAGATATTAGATGATGTTTAAGGTGCCTCAAAATGATACTAATGAATAAAGTTTTATTCAGTAGAAAGAACTGAACTGTCAATAATCATATGCATGAATTTTATATATACCCCACAAGAGAGTTTTATTGATTCAGAAATGTGCAATCAGTCAGTAACATACATTAGCAAACTGTAGTGATTATATGACTGAAGCATATGAAGGAAAATAGTGGTAATTTTTCATCAAGTTCAGACACAAGAAAAATTAAATCTTCATAGAGTAAATGCTCTCAGAGTCATTTCAGGTGGCTTTTAGAAAATTGAAATAGCTGTAACATGAACTAAAATGGTGAAGTTACATTTTCAACTGAAGTGTGTTGATTTCAGATAGAAAGACTCAAAGTTTCCAATAGTGGAAATTATCTTTCTTCAGGGAGTTTTTTATACTCATTTCACAAGCTCCTATTCATTAGACAACTTTGAAGCTTTTATAAGAGTTATTGTTTTTAAAGTGATTATTACCTTGATTTATTTTTAGCATGGTTTCTATCATCTTTTTCTTTGACAGGGGAAGAAATTTTCTTTTCCTTTTCTTTCTCCTCTTTCTTAGGTTCTACCTTCTCTTTGTCTTTTTCCTCTTTTCTATCTTTTTCTTTATCTTTCTCTTTCTCCTTGTGATCTCGACCCTTTGCTGCAGGCTTTGTGGTAGATCTTGACCTAAACATTAAATATAATATAATTTGAATTGAGACATACAAAGATGAACATAAATTACCAGCCATTTCGATAGCCTGTTAATTTTTTTTAGGTTAGCCTAACTACCATTTACCTTCTTTTAGGTCTGCTTCGCTCATGATCGCTGCTAGTTGATGATGAATCTGAAGAAGAACTACTAGAACGGGAGCTAGAACCAGAGCTTGAGCTACTAGATGATTTGGAACTTGACGAACTGCTGTCTGAAGAACTGAAATAAATGTTTTAACATAATGGCATAAACATTTTTCAGATTCATTTCTCACCTGCTGTGGCTACTACTACTGGAACCTGATGCTGAACGTTTTTTATGTTCCTTTGATTTCTCCTTTTCTTTCTTCTTATCTTTTTTTTCTACCTCAGAATCTGTATCTGGCTTGGCCCTAGAAATATTGATGCAGTTAATATCCATCCATTATAATAAATTTGGGAGCTTCATGATAAAATGTACATACATTTTCTTTAAATATTTATCAAACTTATTCGTAACAATATACACTTCAAACAAAATTAAGATACACTCAAAAAGCCGATTAAACCAAAACTTGTAACCTCTTAATATTGCTTGATAACTTCTGCTAAGACATTTGACATCAGCTTAGCTGATGCAGAGTAGCCAACACAAATTGGCCAAATTACAGAATGCCAACTGTCAAATTACATATTTGACACACAAATATTCAAGATTACACCAACTTTGAACACCCTCTTCGAAAAATGAAAACTAAAAATTAGGTTAGATACCACGACGACAATATTTTTCAGTTTTTCCAAAAAAAAATTACATTATTGAGTCGACTTTGGATGAAGATTACCCGATGAAAAGGAAAGGAGTGGTTGCAAACAATGTTGGCATCAGTGACATATTAACAACAATTTTGATGTTAGTGTTAGTGATACTGAGTTTAAATTTGAGAATTAAAAAACTTTATGAGTTTAGTTAATATAGTTTGTAATGTTTTAATAGAGCTATGACCTATGTGCTGTATAAATAAATGTTCAAACAATTATTAAACATTGTGGAGTTTTCACATTACTATTTATCTGTAATGATACTTTGAGACAATAGGGTATACATTTTTGCCACAATTCCGATAATTGGGTACCCCTCAAGTGATCAACTTCAAAATAAACTCTACAAAAAGATGTATAGATCATGTGCACAATTTTTCAGGTGCAAACGGGAAAAAATAAATCAGATTTTACAAGGTGAATAGAAAATTTCATACCTCATACTCCCTGAATGGTAATCCACTAACACCTGTCACTTCAATGAAGTGTCATCAGGTTGGAGCCCAGCTCCCTTACCCTTGTAGCCGAGTTTTGTCAGAAACACAAACTACTTAAGGGCCCCATTCACGTTGAGATCGGTATCGATACGTGTATCGCGACAGGTAGCGATACATGTATCTGAGATTTGTATCCATGTGTCAACTGCTCCTACACGTTGAGATGAACTCATGAAACATCAGTTCAGTCACTGGTTCATTAACAAAATGGTGCCACCTGCCATACCTGCGCTTACTGCGCTTATAGCAGTGGCAGTTGTTTTATCAGATGTTTTAAAGAAGAAAAAAAAAGAATATGGGCAAAGAAATG